GCTTAGTATTGAACCTATGGGGTCGCACACTAACGAGTGTCCTGATCTTTGCTAAAGGATTAATTACTTTATTATTTGTTAATTAAATTAAAGAATTTAATTAGTCAAATAATTTAGTTATTAGTTCAAATGAAATATAATTATGTTCTTTGCTAGCACAGAGAATATAATTAATATTGTGAACAAATTGAAGTTTTCTATTTAGAATAGAAAATTAAATTATATGCCTTGGTTGAAATATATATATGATATATATTTGGTACTCGTAATTCATATTTATATATAAAGGTTATATATTTAATATTAATTTATTCTTACAATCCAATTTTTAATTGGACATTAAATTCCATAAAGAATTTCCTACGATTTCATTAAACATGGAAATTAGAAGTCCAAAAAAGGACGTCTCACAACTCAAAAGTGTTTTCTTGTTTTCAATAGGAAAATTCCAAGGTTTGGAATTGGACTTCATGGAAAGTCCATGATTCTCGGCAGTCACATTACCCATTGAGAATGGGATTGCGAATTTCATACAAAACTTTTACCCTAAGTAAATCATTAGCTCAACCAAATAGGAAAAGGGTTTATAGGTGATGCTATATAAAGGGTGATGGAGAAAATTTGCTGCATTATTAATTCTTGAGAAGAAAAATCACTTTGTAAAAGTGAGAGTGCAACACAAGCCAAGAGAGAAAATACAATTACAAGAAAAGTGTTTCTTGTTCTTCTAACATTGAGTTGAGATTTTTGTGAAAAATTTCAACACAATATTTCGTTCAATTTGTTCGCGTGTTTCATTGATCAAAAAGCTGATAGCAAGGGTCGGTCTCGGTGTGGATACGCATAGAGTCTTCGCACTATCGAAGAACTTTGAAAGGAGACTCTCTTCACCAGGTACGTCTTAGATCCGATCTTTGACATTTAAATAAATTTTAAACACGAAAAGATCTGCATAGGATTGTTATTGTATTCCGCTGCGTGTTACGAACACCTATACGCAATCCTTCAGTTCTATCATGTATTGGCTTAGGTGCTTAGTAGATGTTCGACGTGTTAATGAAGCAGTAAAAGAACAATTAACAACTAACTAGTATTCATTTTTCTTTTCAGTTTGAATAATGGACGATTTTTCCTTCTCAAAAATAAACTTAATTAAAATAATGGACGATTATTTTAAAAGATGAACTTCATTACTTTCCTAGTTTCCTAACTTTTCTCTTTATGATGTTAGAGGAATATAATTCTATTTTTATAAAAAATGGGATTAATTTGTGAATGCATTAGTCTATGATGAGGTGAGAACCAGCAAAAGTGAATGCCTTTAAATCACTTCTGTATATTCCTTGCACGAACCCCAAGTATTGGCTTGGAATCTGAATCTTGATGTGTTAAACAATTATGGCAAGGATGTTTTATTCTTGAATACAAGAAAGGTTTTTTCTTTTTCTTTCTCATTTTTCCTTGATAGATTTGCCCATTACTAGTTACTGTTTCTAGACCGTTTGCGCACACCTGATTAATACTCACCGATTGCTTGGGTGTCGGGTAACTCTTAGCTGCCTACATCATAACATCACACCTTTTGGGTGTAGCTCTTCCACAAACCTTGCATAAATGCGGAATGCTCCGTGCACCACGCTTATGTTAGCCTATGAACTGCGGTCATTGTTAGTGACGTAGAGGGTTCTAACTCATGTCTGATGTCATGACCGAATCGTTTGATTCATTTTTTAAATAAACAAAGATGCAGATGTCTCTCAAATAAAGTAGGAAACTCATATTCTTGATTATAAACTAATCAACAACAATCTTTCTACTCACTCTTCATGAATAAAAGCAAGTCTTTGTTTATATATATTTCTACTCACTCTTCATGAATAAAAGCAAGTCTTTGTTTATATATATTGTAGTAAAGTCAGGTTTATATATATTGTAGTAAATTTAATAGGTTTAGCCTTTAAAATTCTTAGCATTGAACTCATTGTACTACTAAAATTATAAGGTTCAAGTCTAATACTTGTCGAAATTTTAGTAGATTTTTACATATAAATTTATACTCTATATCGAAAGTTATTTGTTCAGTTGAACCAATAGCCGAAAGTCCCCTACCTCCGACCCCGAAGTCATGCAACACATGTTCGACGTTAAATTAGAGCCTGATTCATATCAATGATCACTCGTCCAAAAAGGGACTTCTGAAAAATAGATAATTCAATCTAAACAGCACAGAGAATCTAATTCTACTGGGACACAAAGTGGAGAATTTTTAATGTAGAGGATCTGATCCTTAGTCCATTTCAGGTGCTATGGTTTTTCACTTTCTTTTTTACTCCAAGTGAAAAAGACTAGATAGAGAGTTTATAAAAGAGGGGAAGCAGAAGCAGAAATAGAAACTATAAGGTTGGATTGAAAAGAAGAATGTGTCCAGGAATTGATTGCAGTTGCAGACCTTTGGCCTTTTTATTAGGCCTCCCTTTTGCTCTTATTTCCCTGCTTATTTCCATAGTCGGCGTCCTCTTCTGGATTATCGGGTTTTTAATTAGCTCTTTTTCCTTTTTCTTTTTCTCTTTATTTAATTTTCATTTCAGGTAATTGTATTATATGAATTATTTTTTGACTATATATATGTGTGTGTGTGTGTATGTTAATAGGTTGACGTGTCCATGTTGCATATGTGTGACAGTGTTGGTTGAACTTGGACTGGCGTTGATTAAGGCTCCTATTCGTGTCATGAAGTGGTTTGCTGATAAGATCCCTTTTTGACACTCTTTCCATCACTTTGAGAAAGGGTTAAATTTGTTGTTGTATGTATTATTCGGAATAGAATAATTTTTGCCCTCTTTTAGACTTTTGATTTAATATTACTTCATTACTACGAAAGATCCTTATTTTTATCCTTGATCCCTAACAAGCTCAACATGAGGGTAATTTTGTATTATTGTTGAAAGTCGAAAATTAACTCATGGGATCGGCTCCAAAATGAACACGATGATATTTCTATGATAACGTTCGGTTTTTATGACGTATGATATTTTTATGAAGTCGTCGCGTATTATTTTCTTAATTCTTCATTTAATACTTTTTCATATTTGAAGTAAATTTAACTTTACACCTCTCATTTACTATTAATGACATCATAATTAATACCAATAATTATAAAAAATTTGTTTTTCACTTTAATATTGAAATCAGGTTTAAGACAGAAGTCTATCTTTTGGCGTCTAAATTTTGAAAGAAATTTCCCGGAAAAAGGAAAACATCGTCTAGCGAAGGAGAAACTTAAAAATGACTACTCGCCAGTGGTGAAAGCAGATCTCTTTTACAAAAAGACTACAACGTTTCACTTGTTCCAATTGTTACGACTGGGGCTGTATATTAGTTCGAATTTTTTATTTAACAAACCAAAATTAATTATCTTGTGTTTCTAAATATATAAACCAAACTAAACCAACTGGAGTTTTCAATCTCGGGTTTTCTTGATTTTTTTGTTTCTGACGAATTTTTGATTTTATCCTCAAATTTTATAGCACAAAATATATAATTTGTGCTCTAAATTAATCTTAATAAGATATTATAACTATAATGTATGCATTATATACATCGTCATTAATAATAAAGATATTGAAATCACATAGAATAAAGTAGGCCATAACGAATACATTATCAAAAATGACTAAATCATGCTAATATAAGTATCGCTATTAAGAAGTATTAATTACATTACTAAACACTAAAAAGCTAAGCTTTATATTTTTACGGTCTAAACCAATGCAAAATCAAAATATAGCTATCTAGCACTATTCTTAATATTGAATTGAACTTCTTTTGTTAGTATTAGTATTAATTTAGTTTTGCATATTCTTTATTTGAGTTACTAACATCTACCAATTATAAAACTTATTGACCAATTTTAAACAATTTGAAAGACAAAAACTATGGAGAAGTTCTAAAAATCTTTATAAAGTACCTTACAAAAATGTATTTAAGAAATCTTTATAAAGTACATTACAATAAGTATTTCTATGTATAAAATATTTTCTAAATCAGAATATATATATATATATATATATATATATATATATATAATATCAGATTGGTTTGACTTTAATTTTACCTTTTTTATTCAAAACCAAATCAAGACAAACCAATTATAATCAACTTTTTCCAATATCAAATCAATTCAAATCTAATCACATAGTCAATTTTTTTTCTTTCCGAATTGACCCGAATTATCATTTTCCAATTACAAGAAAATACACGTGACTTCACACCATAATAAAAAATGGCCTATATTTTAATTTTTATCCTACCTAGCCTATATTGTATATATTTTGAAAGTAAGTAAATTCAGAATCTTTATTCTTACAACCATTGCTTCTAAAAATGTGGAGTTAAATTCGTGTTCTCACAACTATTGCTTTCATTTTCTCTTCTTCTCACATCTTCTATATATGTTTCAAGGGGCCGTGTATTTTCTACTTCTCCCCTTGTATCACCTGATTGCAATGTAAGAAAATTGAAGAGTAAAAGTCAACCGTTGAAGGCCTTTCAAAGCATTACTTCAGAAAATATGATTTCTTGAGTTTGTCAGTTGTTTGGATTGAGTGTTGTTCCAATTGATTGAAAATATCAAAAGGAATTCAAAATTTAAATTTAAAGTAATTTGTAGTGGATTTGAGCAAGATTTAAGTTAAATTTGAAAAAAGACGCAAGGAAGAAAGCGAAATCAGTTTTTTATATAGTTATGTATAATCTTGTATAATAGTGTATATGAGTGTATAATCACATCTTATACACTTTTATACATCTTTATACAAGCGTCTGGAGACGAACTTCTTCCACAATTTCAACTGTAATTCTTGTTCAAAACCAATCCAAATTTCTATTAAATGACTTCAAATTTTAATATACAACCTTCTTGTTTCTAAGAAGTCTAAAAAATACCCACTCTAAATTTCGCACAAAATCAAATTCAAAATTTAAACATATATATTTAAGCTGGTTAAAAAGCTAATTTTCATCACCCAAATAAATTTGTTGTTGATCTAATATTTGAGTCACAGTTACTGATTCGAAAAAATTAACTTAAAAGCTTGAGCAACTTTTTTTAAAAGTTAAATAGTAATTTCAATAACTTAAAAGCTTGAACAATCTTTTTAAAAGTCAAATAATAATTTCAAGAACCTATTGGAATAGAATGTTAATCCAATCTATTATTTTTGAGCTAAATGGTAGTAAACTAAAATATGAACTATAATATTGAAAAATAGAAAGCTCAATTATTCTTATGTGAAATTTCCCATTGACACTATCCTTTCTATCCAATCTATCTACGATTATAATTATGGATCTTAATATATTGCCAAAACTAAATACTTAAGGAAACCATGGTCAAAAAATGCCTCCCCGTCTCCTCACACACGTTGTAGCACTAAGCTCCCTTTTGGGGAGGACAGCATACTGATTTCCTAGCTGAAAATCACACTTAAAGAGTTCATCATCATACACTTGCAAAAGTTTTCACTAATAACAAAAGAAGTTGCACAAGCAGAACTTGTACAGAAATGCACTTGTAACAAAAAAAACATATGTACTTATACCCTTTTTACAACTTCTATGAAACAAACACCTAACATTCCCCTAACCAACCAGCCTTCTCATGAAGGACCAAAAGCATGCCCAACTCATAATCTCATTGTGATTGCTTTTCCACACTAATGACTCCGCCTTCGCTTTCTCCCTGCACATATGTTAAATATTTAACATATGTAATACTTGTAGTCTTAAAGATTGGCGTTTAATACAATATTAAAGCAAAACAGAAAAACCAATATATAAGACTATGTCAAAAGGATAATCAGCATTGCATTAGTTCAGCTAAAATGATCATGACTAATTGACGTGTACTGTAAACAAATACTCCTATATAGTAGTAGCAATTATCGTCATATTTACCTTGGAATTACCTTCTAATTGTCTCTCAACTTCTGCCCTCTTTCTAGCCGTATAATCTGCTGCACTTTCTTCAGCTGAAACTACATAATCTTTAGCAACAGCCAATTTATCCCCTGCATATCCCACGGCGCTCTTTCCAGCATCAGCTACCACATCCTTCGCCGCGACCACTTTCTCTCCTGCATACCCTGCAACACTAGAAACAACTCCAGCCGTGGCTTTGGTTGCCTCTGCAGCTGCTTTAGCAGTATAATGTGCAGCCCCTAACCCAGCAATTTCTGTTTTATCCTTCGCGGTTTCGGCTACTTCCCCTGCATATACTACCGCACTTTTTCCTGTTTCTACTGTAGCGTCTTTAGCTCTTTTTCCTGTTTCTACTGTGGCGTCTTTAGCTTCGACACCCTTATGCCCAACATAACTTGCTGCATTCTTGGTCTTCTCTGCAGCCGTCTTCCTTAGTTCTGCTGCAGTCTGTTTGGCTTGTGTAGTTTTTTCGCCAGCGTAATGAGTTGTTGACTTAGCTGCGGTACTGACTTTTTCAGCAGCATAATCTTTTGTCTCCCCTGCTTTTTGCAGGGTGTAATCTTTTGCCTTCTGTGCTGATTCCACAGCAGTTTGTCCTGCAGTTGAAAGTGTATCTTTAGTTGCAGTATAAGCTTGCTGACTTTTCTCAAGAACAGTGTCCTTTGCAACTCCAGCCTTGTCAGCAACATATTCAGATCCAATTTGAACACCATGCACAACAGTATCTTTGGCTTGTGCACCTGCACTAATTGAAAGGATATCTTTAGGAAGTCTAACTCAGTGTTCTTAATCTTCAAGGTTTTTAGCACTTCGGGATTGTTCGGGAAACAGTTCGGATTCGGTCTATACCCGGTGTAGTGGGCGTTAAAGAATCGAGATTGGTTCAGAATTTGATATTTCTTTCAATTTTAGTAAATTTTTAAAACCTAATATTTATTAAGCACAATCTTAGTAAAATTTTCACTCGCATATATTCAAAACCTCTTGAAACCCAAGGGGCGCTATGAGGCGCTAGAGGTTTACACCAAACCGTCGGACGTTGTACAAGGTCAAAAAAACTTATTTTTATATGGTAGATGTTAAATTTTCTTAACTATATTTCTTTATATTGAGTCCCCAGGAAAAAATACTGGCTCCACTACCTCTGACTACACAAGTTTACTGACCTTTCTCTAGGGTGGTGTCCTTGGCAGCTACAGCTTTATCAGCAACATACTGAGATCCAATTTGAACACCATGAGAAACAGTGTTTTTGGCTTGTGCACCTTTCGCCGTAGCATAATAACCAGCAGCACCAAGCCCATGACTCGCCGATTCTTTCGCATCATGCAATGCAGCCGCCCCCAATTCCTTAGCCTTTTGATACCGTTCTTCAGCAGCTGTCAAAACATCCATTGAATTCTGTTGTGCAGTTCCCCTCTGCGGTGCAGTTTCCTCCAAAGAGGGAGCGTTTCTCTCCTCCGTACCACTTTCTTGAGGATGAGTTCCTCCTTCAGCTCTCCCTTCACCTTCTGGCCGCTGTTCTTTCGGACTTTGCTCTTGCTGCATTATTACTCCACTAGAGAATTCGAGCCCTCCAACTTTAGCAGGAGGAGAATGAAGCTTATAATGAGATTTTCCCTTTTGGCCAAAGCCTTGGTGTTGGCCCTCGTGTTCAGGACCAGTAGCAACACCTTTGATATGAATATCTCTTCTTGCTTTCTCTGAAGACATTGTTACGAAATACTTACTGCTCTAATTCAGTTCTGTTTTGTTTCTTCTATCATGAAAAGAGAAACGACCATGTATGTATATAAAATGGAAGAAGCAATTAAGAGGTTCGGTGCACAGCAATATTCGAATGTGGTCGGTTTGGAATTCCAGGACACGTGGCGAGTGGTGAGTTCTTGTTTTTATGACGTGGTGAGAGGAGGAAATAGCCAAACTGCATTAGTCAGCAACTGAATGCTAACGTGTCTTGTTGTTCGTTGTTATAAGCGAATTGACAATGTGTCATGAAACAACTCTGAGACAAAGTAATACGCAAGCATACTCAAACCGGGAGAATTACGTTAATTTGATTCTTGCTTATTTCGATGATCCTCCGTACAAAAGAAAGAGTTCGGGCATTTTTAAATACGGGACCGTAAAAATACATTCAGTTGTCAAAAAAGAGAATTTGCTTGATATCAAGGAGTCAAAAAAATTTAGGCCAAAATACTAAATAAAAGCAGATAGATTTTTTTTTCATTCCTGAAGAGGTGCATATTTTGCCCGGATCTTCATCCATAATGATACAGAACAATAGTATCATAGATACACAAATCACCTTAAATCTAAAAAGCTGAGTCGGCGAGCTGGTCGGGTAGAGAGAAAATAATTTATTTTATCGACGGTGCTAATCAAAGGCGACTCGAATGAGGGGTCCCACGGATTTCTTTCCCGAAGTTCAAGCCGTAGTTCCTGTCCCTGAGAGAAGAGGAAAGACTTAGGAGGATGCGAGCGCCCTTTGTCCTTAGAAATAGGGAGAGCTTCGCCGTCAGGCCGACAATAAAAACGAGCTAATATGTGATCATGATAGTACACTGATACAAGGTCTTCTTTACTTTGCCTTTTGATTATGATACATCATGCATGGACATGCTAATATGTGATCGGGGTAAACAGTGGTTAGATATCGAAGGAAGGGCTTCGCTTTCCTATCGCTTTCTAAGGTCGCTTTATTTAGAATTCTTATAAAATATGTGTGCACCACTAAAAAGGAAAAAAATTATTAAGTAGGAATTGATTCATGTTAAATAACTCAACATTCAACTAAGTGCAGTATTTAACCTTTTCGGAGTATATGGGTGTCAGTAGATAATTTACGAAAAGACAATTGGTTCATGTGCTCCATATATTGAGCTACAACTCCGCCCCAAGACTGCTAATAGTGTATTTTGATCGATTTGTGTAGTAACTAAAGTAAAGTAAGTAAAGTAAATGGTAACCATAAATGAGTTTTTTACACGCTTGATCCTTTTTTAACTATTTTTTTTTTTAAAAAAAAATAGCATCATTTCTTGTGTATTCCAAAAAGAGCACTTTTTTTTCTCATTATTTATAAAAATTAAGCTCAATATTTAATAAGTTAAATGACTGCACTAATCACGGGAAGTACTTTTTTTTGTCATCTCCATTCTCCCTTTCCAATATTCATCTTCTTCACTCCATTTTCGAAAATCTGATGTATATGTGAATGGCACCTAAATTCAAGATGTATTGATTTATACGTCTTTTATACTTTGTATTTTTATACTTTGTATATCAAGTAACACTTTAATTCAAAATGTATTTTTATATGTATTTTTTTGTATATTTGTTCGCGAAGTGCCATCTTATTTTAAGATGTATTTTTAATGTATATTTCAAATATATTTTATATGTCAACTGCCATTTAATTCAGGTTGTATTGTTTATGTATATATATTTTTTTTTTGTATATTTATATCTAGAGCCATCTTATTTAAATTTAAGATATATTTTTATGTATATTTCACATGTCTAAGTGTCATCTTAATTGAAGATGTATTTTTATGTATATAGTTTGTATATTTTATATGTGTTAATTTAATGTATATTTTTTATATATACTTTTTGTATATATCAACGTATATTATTATTGAAGTAAGATCTTTATGTTAAGAAAAGAAGAAATAAGGAAGCGAAAAACTTAAGAAAGACAGTTAAAAAGAAAACGAATGGAACAAATATAGAAAATCTATTGGCTTCGGCAGAAAATAAAATTAAGAAGAAAACCCCAAAAGGTAAAGAAGGAAAGATGAAGAAAAAGAAGGAAAGATAATGGATAAAGAGAATAAAAAAGGCATGATTTTCGAACAAAGAATTATTGATTTTTCATTCAATTTGCTTATGTTTAGGGATTAATAATTAATATTCCTATTTTAATGGAATTGTGTGCTACAAATATAAATATTTTCCTGCCACAACTGTAATATCGGGTTTCATGCTAAGAATTTGTTGTATTTCTTTAAACTGTGGCAGTTATGTATAGTTCTCAATTTGAAATCGTGCTGAATTCCTGTTCTATGGCCCAAAATTCAAAAAAATAAAGAATGGTCATGACGAAGCAATGACTATTGTTCATTATGTCGTTTCTGATGGGTCCACAAAATTTATGTGATTTAGAGCCCGTCGCCCAAATTCATGAAGATGGCGTGGAGATTAGCACAAGCAAAATTGAAAATTATCTTGAATTCCTGTTTTATGGTCCTAAAACGCTAAAAACGAGGAACATTCATGACGAAGCAATGACAATTATTTATTAGGTCGTCTCTGATGGGCCACAAGTAGGCGATTCGGAGCCCGTCGAACGAATTCATGAAGACGGCATAGATATTAGCACACAAAAAATTGAAAATCGTCTTGTATTCCTGTTTTATGGCCCTAAAACACCGAGAAACGAGAAACGACCATGGAAAAACAATGACTATTGTTCATTAGGCCGTTTATAATGGGCCCAAAAAAGTTTTAGGGGATTCGCAGCCCGTAGCATGAATTCATGAAGATGATGTGGATATTAGCACAAAAAAAATTAAAATCTAGTTGAATTCCTGTGTTATGACCCTAAAACACAAAAAACGATGAACGTTCATGGCGAATCAATCACTATTATTCATTAGGTCGTTTCTGATGGCCCCATACAATTTTAGGCGATTCGGAGCCCGTCGCTCGATTCTTGCTTTCCTTTTCGATGTTCTTTTTCGCCTATAAATATCCTTAATTATATACCTCCGCATTCTTGTGCTCGTACGGTTGCTTCTAAACTAAAATTTTGACTAGTTCCCTAGTGGCACTCTCTTTTATTTGCTTAACACCTATAAGTACCTTTAACTACCCAACTCCTATTTGAATATTTCTCAAGGATCACGATATCGTATCTACGAGATTGATTGAAACAATAAAGGAGTATTAGCCATAGAGTCACATCCTTATTACGAGAAATAAGTTGGTGACTCCAACGTGATTACCAGAAGGAGAAGTTAAACTTCGGAGTAATAGAAATCAACATGGGCTCGTGAACAAGAAAGACTAAATATGAATTAGGAACCGAGTGATTTGATAATAGTCAACATCATGAGAATTTCAGAGATCGCGTTCCGGCGATAATAGAATGAACAACAGAAGAATAACCTTTAAAGGTCATTCAGGAAGACGCGTCCCTAAAGCGAGCATTGTGAGAAAAGTTAAACTTAATGGACTAAGTGTGCCAGTTAAACTAGGTGTTACCCTTGTGAGCAAGAATTTTGTTATCCTTGGTACAAAAGGGTTATTGCAAGGCGAGTAAGAGTCGGTGAAGATGTGAAAAGACGCCAAAGATAAAGAGAGAGGAGAATATGATGTGATATGCTATTAAGTAAGAGTTATACGGTTTAGGTAACTATGGAATAATAAAGGAAGAATATGGTAAAAAGGCGAAAGGAATCAGATTGCATTTATATAGTTTCTACAGATATGACAACTCCTGAATATTATGAAAGCACGATGTCGGAGAAAGGAGTAAGGATTTCCGCCCAAGATGTTATTGATGAATAAGTGCGAATGAACACTTGATACATAATGAGCCAGTGCGAGAAGTAAGTTAAGACAAACGAAATAAACCAAGAGAAATTACGCGAAATATAAATACGAGAATTGAGGCTTTGAAATTAGATCTAAACCTAGTGGGGTATGCAACATTACAGCTACGGGTTCAATCAAATCCATAACTTTCGAGACGAAACTTAAATTTATGTGTACAAATTCATTAAAATTGTAAAAGATAGTACATATTACCATAACTTTAAAAATATAACAAGTCTAATGATAAAAACTGCAAATGTTGAACACATAAAATTTAAATTCCGAATCCGCTTTTGTACTAAACCTGCAACTAACCGCAACAAGTCTTTTTGTTTTTCCCTTCTTTCTAAACGCAACAGTTAACTCTCTGAAATATAGTATTCCTAGATCCCATTTTATATTGGCACACTTTCTTTATTTAATCTTTTTCAAAAAAAAAGTATTTCTTTATTTGAATTTTTAAAATTTAAATTTCCTTTTTTTCGAGTATTCAGATAGTAAGTGTAAAACTAAAACTAGAGCTGGATTGACTTCCAGCATGGTGATAGATATGTCCAACAGGACGGGACGGGACGACATTTAAACGGGACGGTGGCGGGACGGGACAAAACGGGACGGGACAAACGGGACGAAACGGTCGGCCCATCCCGTCCCGCTAACAAACGGGATGGAACGGGATGGAACGGGATGGGACGAGACGGAACGGGACGGGACGGGACGGGTTCGTGGGCCATAATTGTATTTTTTTAATTTTTTTTTCAAAAAAAAAACGTCTTGTTTTTTGAAAATTACTTTATTTTTAAAGTTTGCAACAGCTCGATTTTTGACTTATTTAATAAACTTAAATGTTAAAACGAAAATTAGAAAACTAAGTAAAGAATTATAAAATATTAAAATAAAAGACTTGTAATGAAATATTCTAGATATTATAAATCTATAATAGAGTTATAATTTATTTAATATAATTTTAAAGTATTAATTAACTAAGACAATTCATAAAAAAATTCAAACGCTTAAAGCCTTTTATTTTATTAATAGAACTTTCAAATCTCAAATACAAATATAATTCTTTTGAAGAGCACCTAATCTACGCTGCCACCTTCTATGTCACGATCCAATTTCACTTCAGGTCGTGATGGCGCCCAACACCGTTGTCAGGCAAGCCAACGCGGAAATATTAATA